AAACAGGGCAGAATTAGCACAAACAGGGCAGAATTAGTATAAAACAAAGCATAATTAGCACAAAATGGAAGAATTAAGTCTAAAATGGCAGAATTAACACAAACAGGGCAGAATTAGTATAAAGCAGGGCAGAATTAGTATAAAACAGAGCAGAATTAGCACAAACAGGGCAGAATTAACAGGGCAGAATTAGCACAAACAGAGCAGAATTAGTATAAAACTGGGCAGAATTATTATAAAACAGGGCAGAATAAGCACAAACAGAGCAGAATTAGTATAAAACAGGGCATAATGGTAGCATAAAGCAGTGCAGAATGTTAGTATAAAACAGGGCAGAATTCGTATAAAACCGGGCAGAATTAATATAAAACAGGGCAGAATGTTAGCACATAGCTGGGCAGAATGTTAGTATAAAACAGGGCAGAATGCTAGCATAAAACAGGGCAGAATGTTAACATAAAACAGGGCAGAATGTTATCATAAAGCAGGGCAGAATGTTAGTATAAAACAGGGCAGAATTAATATAAAACAGGGCAGAATGTTAGCATAAAGCTGGGCAGAATGTTAGTATAAAAAAGGGCAGAATGTTAACATAAAACAGGGCAGAATTAGAACAAACAGGGCAGAATTAATATAAAACGGAGCAGAATGTTAGCATAAAGCAGGGCAGAAGCAGCATTAGCAGGGAAGAGTTATTAAAAAACTGGATAGAATTAGTTTTATCATATCAGAATTAGCATCACCAGGACTGAATTAGCATTAGCTGGGGAAAATTCAGCATTAGCAGTGCAGAATATGAGCAATAACCTGAGCAGAATTAGCAGTAGCAGAAGTATTACTTGCATAGAAATGCTGAAATGGAAAGGAAAAATGCAGGTTTTCATAAGATTTGAACAGGGCTCCATGCATGTCCTTGGGTGTCATGAAAGGCGCTTTTTAAATAAAATGATTATTATTATTATTATTTTCTATGTGAAAGAACATGAAAAAGCTAAATAAAAAATAAAAATTGCACACATTCCTAATGCTATAACAGGAACGTGTCCTGAATGAGCTGAACGTTTTGATATATGATTTGAATAGCACAAAGATTGCAGACCGAGTGACGTGCCAAACAGCGTAGAGAAGAAAACCGGATCTCAGTAGTGTGAATGCTTCACAAACACTTGCACCATTAAAAGCAGTTATCCAGTTAATTTCCGTGAATCGTAGCTGAATCGCAGTGGGTTTGTGTTTCTGTGTGCTCATAGGTGGATGGTGAGCCGTGCAGACTGGCTCCGTCCACCCTGCGCATCTCCCTTCGAAACCAAGCCAACATGGTCCAGAAGAGCAAGAGACGGACCTCGGTGCCCCTCCTCAACGAGTGAGTCACTCGCACAGACACAGACGAGTGAAGTAGGCCAGCCGTGTTGTAGAAATCCACAGAGTGAGTCATTCAGTCTGTTCGCAGAGCTGACATGCACTGCTCGGTGTCCCACGTCCCTCTTCAGGGAGAGGGGACAGTCTCCAGCAGAGCTTTATCTCCGTGTGGTTTCCTCTTTCTTGATTTGTTTCGGGAGCGAAGCAGCGTTTTGTTTTGTAAAAACAACTAAAGATGTGTAGATTTTAACGTCTCCCTCTGTCTGCCGTATAAACAGTTTAAATGTAGACGTGTTTTCTGCTGTTTGTAGCGAGCTACAGTAGATGTGCGCATGCAGCAGAGCAGCAGAGGAACTTTTCTTGTTAGCGTCACAGCTATGGGACTTCTGTGCTATCACTGTTTGTCCACTTACCTTTTGGGCTTTTCTCCATCTTTCCCTCCTTCTGCTCATCCTTTTTTTTTTATCATCTTTTACTTCATCACATCTGGGATCTTCTGGATTTTTATTTTATTTTCCACCGTTCTCTCACCTCCTTCCTCTCACCGCCATACATCCCGCCTCTCTTCTGTGTTTGTGTGTGTGTGTGTGTGTGTGTGCGGACGTAGTATTCAGAAGGTGTGTGCAGCTGATCTGCGCCGCCTCTCTGCTCCCCCCGACTCCTTCTCTGTGTAAGTACCTTTAACCCCTTTGTGTGTTATTGTGTCACATCTGAGTGAATGAGCAGGTTGCGTCGTATTTGTGTCAGTCAGGTTTGACGAATATTTGAATTGTTCTCTTCGACTGAAGCTGCTGCAGTTTTTTTCTGTCCCGGAGGTGTTGACAATTATCCTGTTTGATGGATATCTTTGAAACATTCAACGCAAGAAACACTTTTTAACGATTTGGTCAGCTTTGACACAGATGTGTCTTCACATTTGATCGTTTCCATTAAACATCAACATATGTGCACTATTTTTAATCCAGTCAACTTTTTTTAATCTCTATTTTTAGCCAATTGAACGTTTCTTCTTTGTGTGTTTGCCCAATAAACTTTTAAATGTTGAATTCAGAGTTCCTCTTAACTGGACAACCAAACGCAGGGAAACAGTAAAGTTTAACATTTCTAAAAAAAAATCTTAAACGAGTTCATTTTTCAACGATTACAGTAAACAAATTACCGTAATTTCCAGACTGTTGAGCGCACCCGAATATAAGCCACGCCACACCAAATTAAAATAATAATAATACATTTTTATACATATATGCTGAACATGTGTATAAGCTGCAGGTGTCCATGTTGTAACATGAGATATTTACAAAGAAAGTTTTTTTAAACTTTTTATTAAATACATACCAGTAACATACACAAATATGTACAGTAAATGTTTTTTTCTGAACAGTGCTGGTAACACGGCTGGTTAAAAATAAGAAATACAGTAGCCTACCAGGAAGTCATTGATCACTTTCTTCATCTTCCTCCTGTGCAGTGAGGTTGTGCTGTCCTTTTTATCACGCCTCCCCCTCCCTGGGGGCACAACGGGAAGGGGAGGAGAGAATGTGAGGGGGAAAACAAAATCCCCCCACCCCCCAGTGGACCAATGAATTTCATTGGTCAGATTTTTTAAACATTTATTTATACAGGTAGTCTCATTGAGTCATGAGGACCCACCCCCCAAGAGAGATGTGTATTGTGCAGCTATGTGAGCGCCCGGTGTGACGAGGCTAAACGTTTTGGTGGCATGAAGCTCGTTAGCCCATTAAAAAAATAAATAACAATCCATAAATTAGTCACAGCATTGTATGAGCCACGGTGTTCAAAGCATGTGAAAAAGTAGCAGTTTATAATCCAGAAATTATGGTACACCTCACCGATAATCTGAAATGTAGCTGATTTTCTTCTCTAGTCTGGGAAATAATTTAAGCGTGTTTAAAAGTTAGTATTGGTTTATTACGAATAAAACTAGAATAATTCAATCTTTAGATCAGTCTAATACTTTATTTCTTAGATAAATTGTACTTTAGCAGCACTTTAATGAGAACTTTGTTTAATATCAGCCCATTGGGAGATAAGTTGAGGCCTTTTTGCTAAAGATTCCTATAAAATAATAGATGATGAAATTCTCACAGGTCACCACAATCTGTTCTTCTCAGCCTCTGACAAAATATGCACATAAAAACAAAACATTTGAGCCATTAAGCGTTTGGATTTTCTCACAAATCAAAAAGACAAAAGTCACACAAAGGTCACTCTTTAAAAAAGTCGTCAAATATTGATCAAACCCTGCAGTTTTTGTGTCCACTTGTTCTGTGCGCAGTCAGAGGACTAAAAAAGGAAGAGAGAGAGTGTATGGCAGCATGGTGAAGTCTCCCCACTTCTGTCTTCGTGTCTTTTTTCACCTTTAACACCGCTCTGAGCTCGGCAAGAATAAAACCTCCACCCAGTTTAACGTTCTTGTTTTCCAACAACCAATAGTCTTTACAGAATCACCTCTGGCGTATGCAGTCTTTAATTTGAAACACCATTTTGTTGATTTATACGTAAGACTTTGAGGTTCTTTTACTTTTGAAGTCGAGCCTACAATGGCCATAAGGTGTAAATGAACAACATTTGAATAAACACAATTACATTGGAAAAAACACAAGAAAAACACACCATTTGAAAAAAACGGAATTACACTAGGCCAAAGCGGAAGTGGCCAGAATCACATTCGATAAAACGGAACTACATTTGAAAAAAACAGAACTGCATGTGAAAAAACGGAATCGCATTTGAAAAAAAAAAACGGAATCACCTTTCAAAAAAACAGAATCACATCTGGAAAAAATGGAATCACCTTTCAAAAAAAACGGAATCACATCTGAAAAAAATGGAATCACCTTTCAAAAAAACGGAATCACATCTGGAAAAAACTGACTCGTGTTTGGAAAAAACTGAATCACATTTGAAAAAACGGAATCACATCTGGAAAAAAACTGAATCACATTTGAAAAAAAATGGAATCACATTTGAAAAAACAGAATCACATTTGAAACAGAATCACATTTGAAGAAAAATACATTTGAAAAAACAGAATCACATTTGAAAAAAACGGAATTACATTTGAAAAAGCGTACTTACATTTGAAAAAAATGGAATTACATTAAGCCAAACGGGAAGTGGTGTTTTTTTTTGTTGTTGTGTATTTTATTATATTTTTTACTTTAGTAACAACATAAAACAGAACAACAAAACAGCGTACAGTACACACACAACGGAGGTACAGTTAGCAGGCTAGACTTTAGCCTGTAGAAATGGAGAGCTATGCTTTGTTCAAGCTTAAAGAAGAAGACATGACGCTGGAAAAACTGTGCAGGATTAGTGTTAGGGTTAGAGCTTGTTGTATGTACTGTACAATTTTCTGTTGTTTTTTTATGTTGCTAATAAAATAAAATAAAAAAACACACACACACACAAAAAAACACCACTTCCGGTTTGGCTTAATGTAATTCCGTTTTTTTCAAATGTGATTCCGTTTTTTCATATATGATTCTGTTTTTTTCAAATGTAATTCTGTTTTTTCAAACGTTGTTGTGTTTTTGTTGTGTTTTTTCAAATGTAATTGTGTTTTTTCAAAAGTTGTTCATTTACACCTTAGGGCCACCGTACGAACCTTTCTCAGACTGCGTCGTCACTGAGCAGCCTTAACGTCAAACTGCTGGAGAGTTGAAACACTTTCATTACCTCCAGTTCTGAGTATTATTAAAGTCACTTAAAATAAATCAGGAGTGCAAAGGTTCATTGGTTTGTGATTTGTGTGTCTGTGAGTGCATGTACGCATACGTTTGTCCTCATTGTGTGTGCTTCACACGTGTGCACGTGTATCCACCTGTGTGCCCTTTTCTTCCAGTCCTCACGCCGTTCCGGACCGTTTGCGCCTCCGAGTTAATCGGATCAGCCTGCAGGAGTACGACAGGCTGCAGTATGACAAAGAGCGTCTGCGGGACATCTGTAAGACTTTTTACTCTAAATAAAACAATATTTGTAACCTTTCACAAACGCTTTTGGTTTTCAAAGATGATAAACCGCCTGAAAAGTCGAAACATTTACACCTCAGCTGCGCCAAGTGGTCGAAAACATTTTGTTTGATTGATGTTTTTCACGTTCTTGAGCCTGTTTGTGTTTATCCAGCAATCCCAGTGGGCATTGTGGTGGTGAGAGGAGACTGCGATCTGGAAACCTGCAGACTCTATATTGACAGATTGCAAGAGGCAAGTCTTTCTTCATCACCTTGCTCATCATCATTTTTTTTAATCATTTACTAATCCTCATGGCGTCACCCCTCCACTTGTAGTTATTTATATCTGACTTACTGACCTGTGAGTACAGATCACCTCGTGTCTGTCGCATCTTCTGACTTAAACACGTGTGAAAACCTTTATCTCTAAATGCTTCGGCTGCTTGGATCTCCCAAATATTTATTCATATTGGCTTTAATATATTATTTCTCTAGTCCACTATACGTTGTTTGGGACATGTGAAAATTTCTAATTAGAAAATTATATATATATATTATTATTACATCTTTCACTAAGAACATTGCCATTATTTTACTGACACACTGCAATCTGGGTTGATGACATGCATCGGTTGTAGGGGAAACTAAAACACAAGTCTAGGCTAAAAAGTACAGGGCAATAAAATTATATTTTATATTAGGCCTTATGCACAACATATGGGTCAAAATGATCAGACAAGATCAACTTGTGATGTTAAATTTATTGGCTACAGAACCAACACCATATATTAGCTCTGGAGCTAATATATGGTGTTAGCACTGATGCTAATGCTATATATGTTAGCACAGGAGCTAACATCTTATATATTTCCTCTGGAACTAATTCCATATATATTAGCGCTGGAGCTGAAATCATCTATATTAGCACTAGAGCTAACATCATATATATTAGCTCTGGATCTAATGTCATATATTAGATCTGGAGCTCATATATGGTGTTAGCAATGGAGCTAATGCTATATATGTTAGCACTGGAGCTGATATATTTGCTCTGGAGCTAATATCATATTTATTAGCTCTGAAGCTAAAATCCAGGTCTCTTGTAAATGCGTCCTTGTTGTTCATTGGGACTAACTTGTTTAAATAAAGGTTGAATGAAAAAAAAATTCTATATTAGCACTGGCGCTAACATCATATATTAGCTCTGGGGCTAATGTCATATATTATCTCTGGAGCTAATATGTTGTTGGCACTGGAGCTAATGCTATATATGTTAGCACTGGAGCTAACCTGAAAGATGACTCATTTCTCCATTCTCCTGTCCATCAACACGCTCTGGTTCAAATTAAAGGGCTAAATGTTAGATAATGTCCAAAATTAACATTCCAGCTGAATGCAGTTTGCCTCAAAGCAACCTGTCTACATTATTTACCCATGATGCATTGCAACATAAATAAATTGGTGACGTCTGTGTGTCAATATTTTTGAAATACTTATAAAAACTGAACAGCCTACAGTATTTTTACAGTCTTGTTTGCATAGCTGATGTAACTGTTTATCAAATAAATTTATTGTTCCAGCTAGTCGGAGAGCTCTTTAATCTCAAGCCTCTCTGCTGTGCCTTCTAGGATTTACACCAGGCGCCCTCTACTGGCCACAGAGTGCACTACCAGGTACAGGACTGGCTTTTTTGTTTTTGTTTTGTTTTTGTCTGCAAGGAAACATACAGAAGGTTGAGAAAAAGCTTTTCTTCTAAATTAGTCACCAGTTTGTTGAGTTGTCAGTTATGTAACTTTCAGTAAACTCAAATGTTTCGTTCTTTAACAAGAGGAACTTAACACCCCAGAATAGCAAACCGTTAATTTAATCTTCATTTATGACATCATCTATGTTGAGCAAGATCCTCACTCGTATGAATAAATTGCTGTCTTAGGTTCCTCTTTATAAACTTTTCTGGTCTTCCCTCTGATCGCTGTAGTTTTTTTAAAATCATGCATTCATTTCACGGTTCAGGGACTCGATAGCGATCACGGTCTGTGGTTTTGTGTGCAGGATGAAAGCAGAGGCGTCCCCACATCCAGTTCCACCAGTCGACTGTCTCCTCACTGGAGCTTCCTGGACTGTAAGTTCCTGGATCACATCTCGTAAACGATGACTTCAAAATGCGTTTTGTCATGAATTTTTCTTGTAAAACATGGCTGACAGTAAAAAACTCTTGCTCGAACATTAAAAAATAGAATCTGCAGTCATCACTTTTAGGTCTTCTGTGTAAACGTTCGGCTCAGTATCGTGGCCAAACGTATTATAAAGCTCACTGTTGGTTTTTGAGAAAATTAAAGCATTTAAAGTGTGCCTTATAGTCAGACAAATACGGTATATGTTGTGTTTATCATATCCTACGCAGATTTTATCTTTAATGTCTCCTGTTTCGACCTTTGATTTCCCTCAAGAATCAGTTTATATATGAAAAATCTACAGCAATAACAAAGTTATAAAAAGTTTAATTATTTATGATTTACCATATTTGTATGAATGTCTTGTCTTTATAGCCACATCAGCCGATCGCTTCTATCGCATCGACAAAGCTCAGGTGAGCGACAGTTTTCAGGTTTTACTGAACATATATCAGTTTCTTTAATCTGATTTCATTTCATCTTTATCTGCGTGTGCAGGAGCACCTTCACTTTGTGACCGAAATATGTCAGGATGAAGTGTTCATCCTGGACCACGAGGGACCCCTGGTGAGCCAGGGCTCGTCCATCGGGATGCCAGATCTGGTGGTTGAACCTACAGCTGGGTAAGATGGAAGAGAGCGAGGAGTTTGATTCTTATAAAATCAAACTAAACGAAAAAAATTAATTATTTGAACTTATTTTGTACAAAATACAACAGTTTTCCATTTTTGTCTACTATGGTTTAAAGCAGTGTTTGTTTGTGTGAGTGAGCTTATGGGGGGGGGGGGGGGGGGTGAGTTCAAATGGATTTAGTTGCAATTCACAGCTTGTACCACTAGATGTCTCTAAATCCTAAAATCCCAACTTTTATTTAATAATTACGCAAAATAACCAGTTGCTGTTGTGGATATTTAAATATAAATGTTTTACTCAATTAATAACCAATTGAATCAACTTGACTGTGAGTTTAAGTTCATGTAATCTTAAAACTCAAGCATCAAGGAGTGGCTTAGTTTAGGAATTTTTATTCAAAATATAAAATATACATGTTTTATTTACAAAAATTATTGCAAAGACGCTGTGGAGTTTGTTAAAAAATATATTTTCCAAAGTAAAATTAGTTGTTTTATTTTTATACAGTTTTAGTTATTTGACACTTAAAGTAAGAAGCATCTTCCAGGTTTAAAGAAATGTTTTAGTTGTTTTTGGAGGGAAAAATAAGCTTTTAGTTATTTTCTGGTGTTTAACTCAAAATCAATAATAGTAATAATAATAATAATAATAATAAAGGCTCTAACCAATATGATGTAATCTATAAAAATAATGCTGTTGTCACTTTTATAATCATTTTTTAACTGCTGATTTAAAATTTAAAATAAAAAGTAACAATTTAAACTTTGTGCTTTTGGTGCTGCGATTTGTACAAAAGTTTCAAATAAAAAATAACTTTTCAATTTGTGTGCAAGTCTGGGGTAAAGTTAACAAAGTTTTGAATAATTGATGTCTCGTTCTCACTTTTTATTTTTCAGTGCTGCTTTGTCACACGATGAACAAGGTAAAACGCTCACACCACACAGAGATGTCTACAACTGCAGTTAAAGTTATATTTTTATTAATTTACCATGAGTTTTGAATGATTTTCAGAGCAGTCTGATCTTCATATTACATTTTTTCCTGTTCAACTTTAAAATATGTACAGAGCAAAACAATAACTTTATTTTTAACCACACAGCAGAGGGGCTTCACGTAAAGACAAAAAGTGTCTGCAGTGTTCACTCTTTTGTCTTCCTTTAAGGAACATATATCAAGTCTGAACAAGTAAGATTTGAGGATAAGCTACTAACTAAGTTATATCCAGAAATCTGTAAAAAGAAAAAAAAAGAACTGAGTTGAAGCCATTTTCATGTCAGATAAGATTCATCAGCTGACTGAAAAAAAAATCAGCCAAAGATTCGAGCGACCTTCAGAGATCCTGAGGAAAGTGTCAACTTAAAATAACTGAACGAATCAGGCGGTTTAAAAGTTTTGCACAAACCTGTAATTGGTCCTTCATTCTTCTCCTTGTTAACCTGTGACTCAGGCGTTCCTGTAACATGCCCAGGCTTGTTTAGTTTGTTTGTTTGTTTTTTATATAAGACACGCAAGACTTTGACTTTCAGGCAGGCGTCACTGGAAATCCCTGAACTGTTTCCCAGCGGCTGCTCTTCGTGTCACGTTGCTTACTTTCACTTTCACAGCTCACTCCGTCTTGGCGTTTATGGTTTCATAAAGTTAAACGTTACTCCGACTGTGTCAGCGGCGGTTTTAATTAATCATAAACTCTGCTTCAACGGTGACTCAGTAGATTGGGTTTCTGATTGCAGCTTTGAGGAAACGTTCTGCAGTTTTCATATCCAGTTTGATTTAAAAGTTACGGAGGAGCCATCATTAACAGCGTCTGTAACAACAGGAAGCACAAAGATGTTCAAATCTGTTAAAACGTGGCTGAAACGGGAACATTCAGAGGTTACATCACAAAAATCTGCAAAAACATTAGATTTTCGTTTGGAGCTTGAGGCAGAAACTTTCTGAGGTTTCTTTGCGTGCAGAGTTTTTATTTTTTATATTTTGTAGATCCATTAAAATGTTTTTTAAAGTTGCAGGAAATTGTTTACAGGAAATTCATCAGAAACATATCTGAGTTTCGTTTCTGTCCCTTCTTTCTCAGCTCTTCTGTCTGCAGCCAGTTCTGGGGATCTCTCCCTGGTACGGTACTTTACACACGCACACGCACACACACACACACACACACACACACACACACACACGCACACACACACACACACACACACACACACACACACACACACACACACATGCGCACAGTCTAAAGAGCAAGTTTATTTCAGCACCAGACCAAAGGCTGGTTTATACTCCACGAGACGTTAAGACGTCTGCTCTCATTAATGAGGTTGCATCACCAAAAAAAAAAATTCTAAGTGTTTTTGTGTACAACCTCCTAGAGGAACCGCTGTCTCACAGGGGTACAATATTTTAGTATATATATATATATATATATATATATAAATGTATACTTTAAGTCTTTAAAAACCCTTCCCACACTCTTACAATGTTCTAAACTCTTAAACCTATGTCATTTAAACAACATGCGTATATGTACTGTAGAGTACTGCAAATTTTATATGGGTACTCCCCAAGTTTGGTCAGGTTCTGGTCCGGTTCTGATCGGCTCTCTGCAGCCGTTGAGCACCAGATACTTGAAGAGTGCTGGACCTTCGGAGAGCCAGCACAAAACCACACAGTGGTCCTGATCGAGTCCAAATAATCCAGAGGGATCTGTATGAAAAAAGTCTTTGTGGGCTCCGGAGAGAACACTGGACCTCTGGGCGGCGCCTTCCCGCTCGGTAGGCCTCGTGGGCCGGCGGGCGGCACTCAGGTTCACCGATGAGTCTGGAGGTCCGGTTCTGGTCTGGTTCCATGCGGCTCTCTGCATCCGCTGGGCGCTGAAGTCACTGTATGAATAAAGACAGAACTTTTCAGATTAGATCAAAACTTTCCCTCCATTTCAGCAGAAGGCAACAGGGCTTCTGGGAAATGTAGTCATTTTGAGTGGCGATACAGTGTAGGCTTATTGAGAGAAAACTACAAAATGGTGGCACCTGTCCAAAGTATTTTTTTCATTAACTTTTTACTGTACAGTATCCAGTACTGTCCCAATCATGTGAGTAATATTAAAGTTGACATTCGTGTGTTGTGTACAGATTTTTTCCCCCTCTTGTTCAGTCTTACTTTGAAAAACCGCAAAAGAGCGAGGGACTACTACAGTATATTACTACAACTTGAAGTATGAGTTCAGCTTCAGGATTATTTGCGACTTTCCTGCCAGTTCAGTGAGCTTAATTAATACATACTGTAGATAGAGCCTCCCTCCATTTTGGCAGAAAGCGGCGGCCAGAAACACTGTTGGCTTCTGGGTAGTGTAGTTCTTTTGACTGGCACAGTGTAGGCTTATAGAAAGAAAACTACAAGTAATTTTTTTTTTTGCATTAACCTTTCATCCTGTACCGTCCCAATCACCTGAGTAATATTAAAGTGGACAGTCGTTAAAAAAACATGCAAGAGTGAGTTCGCGAAAGTCGAACCGTGAAGTATTAAGGGACTACTGCATGTATGGAGTATTGTGTGATTGGTCAGAAATCTGTGGGCTCGTTCTTGCTGAAAAGTGACGGGACTCCACTGCTCTCATTGGCTGAGGCCAACCTGTTCCAGCAAAACTTAAATTAAACTTATAGAAAAACAAACTCACAAAACAAGTTGAGTTTTTCTATAAGTTTAATTTAAGTTTTGCTGGATCAGGTTGGCCTCAGCCAATGAGAGCATGCTGTCTCCACCGTGCATAAAACTTCAAGTTTTGTGCACGGTGGAGACAGCATGGAGACACAGCCAGGTCTCTGTGGTTGTGCTGGCGGCACGTTCACGCACCGTTTGTTGGAAACCGTGGCATTCTCTCAATGACAAATTAGCAAAATAGTGCTCCTCCTCGATTCCTCCTCCAACTTCTCCATCATTAACTGATTATCAACATCATCTCTGCAAGCCGTGCTCTCTGTGTTGTTGTAAGTGTAATGTGTCGTAGTGGGAGGAGCTCATCAGGACTTCTCCCCTGCTGAAGTGGGAGGAGCTTATCTGGACTTCTCCCCTGCTGCAGTGGGAGGAGCTTATCAGGACTTATCCCCTGCTGCAGTGGGAGGAGCTTATCAGGACTTCTCCCCTGCTGAAGTGGGAGGAGCTTATCAGGACTTCTCCCCTGATGCAGTGGGAGGAGCTTATCAGGACTTCTCCCCTGCAGTTTCTCTTTGAGTATAAAATGTTCTTGTGATAAAGAACGTCTCACTGAGTTACGTGAAGAACAGAATAATTTACATCCCTCAGAGTATAAGTCAGCCTTTAATACAACTTTTACTACATTTATTTTAAAAGTATTGTTCAAGACAATGCAGCGAGTGTTTTTTTAGCATGGAGGACATTTACACTGAAACTGGACCATAAACCGTGTTTTATAATTAAGAATTAGTTCTTAAATTAGAGCAGAAAACGGAAACATTTGGAGCTGAATCAGTCAGAGTTTAATATAAATCTGATTCTTACTCATTATAAAGTTTAAAAGCTTATAGAAAGAAAAACAAAACATTTAAATTATTTATTTAAAGAAAAATATGAAACAAATGAGGACTTTTTCATTATACTTTCATATTCAGTGAATTTATCATCATTTTCTTTTCTAAATTTATAAAAATGTTTATTGTTTCTCGTACGTTACTAAAACTGTTATGATTCTATGATGAAATATAATAAATTAGATAAAATAATCCCAGATTTCTGCTTCAAATTATAGCCTCAAATTTTCAGTCAGTATTTTAACCACTCCTTGTTCTGAATCAACCAATAAAACGTTTTAAATTCACATTGTTTTCCAAACTTCTGCAGCAATTACTTATTTACAGAAGAAATAAAACATTTAGATCTTTTCTTCTACAGAAGAAAATATATTTTTGTAATTATCTGCACAGATATGTTCTCTCTTCAGTAAAAAAAAAAAAAAAAAGAAATGAAGCTTCTAAAGGAGTCTAAAAAAGTCATTTATTCCTAAAACAAGTGTTTTCTGTAAATAAACCTATAAAAATTCAAAAGGACGCATTTCATTAAGTTTATATGGATACTAGAAGCCTTAATAATTATAATATTGACTTCAAACTCACAGAGCGTTTATGCGTTTATGATCAAATCAAATAATTGCAACCGAACATGGAGCTCATTTGAAAGTTTTTAATAACTTTAGATAAAAAACTAATGGGGCATGAGTTTTAAAATGCAGAGAGTTCTGATTCTTCAGGAGAAACATAAATCTTTAGGTCAGTAATGTTCATAAAAAACATTATAATAACTTTAGTGTTCAGGTGCTGCTGGGAAAACAGGTTCTGGACTGTTTTACCAGAAGGAAACAGATTTTCCTGCAGGAGAACGTCTCAGCTGTGTATCATTCAAACATGAACGTTTTGAACGTCTTTGTGTGTTTCTCCTGCAGCTGACGGAGTGTGTGCGTCGAGGCGTCAGTTTGTTGGTGAGAGACTCTGAAGGCTGTTCGGCGTTACATTTAGCTGCTCAGAACGGACACACGGACCTCGTCGGCTACATTCTGCAGCAAGGTGAGGCGACGCTCGCTGCAGGAAGCTTCATCTCAAATTAAACAGGTTTTACTGTAAAACCAGCAGCTCCAACAGGAACAGAGTTAAATGAAAAGCTGAGCACATTTCAAACGAGATCATCTTAAGATGAAGATGGAGTTACAGCCTTAAAATAACTTTATTCAGAGTCTTGGACAATGTGTGACCCTCAGCACGTCATGTTTTAGTTCACAATCTGTTAAACTGACTGAGTTATGGCCATTTATGTGTTGGCTAACGTTGATTTTCTGGGGCGGCCATCTTGAACGAGGTTGACGTCAAACGTTAGTTAAGGAGGAGCTAACAAAAATAACAAATCTGAGCGGCAGCGGCAGGGGTGCCTCCAGAAAGGTTTTAATGCAGGGACAATGGGGGGCCCCACTGAAAATCCTAGGAGGAAGGGGGGGGGGGGTCCCCACTCCATCCCACCCAGGTGTTTTATGTTGTCATATATTGGTTATTTGACTAATACAGAAGTACGGGAGTTAGAGAATCAACTTCTGATATTAATAGGTCTACTTCAGCTTTTATTTAAGTGTCTTCTCCTAAATTCACATTTATTAAAAATAAATGTATGAATATAACCTCATGAGACCCTGTAGCTTAATGTAGAGGACACTGATTTTACACCGACTGTATTTATTCAAGAGATTTAGATTTTAAGGTTTTTATTTTAGGCCCTGTGATGGACTTGCGACCTGTCCAGGGTGTACCCCGCCCCTCGCACTGTGATTGCTGGACATGGGCACCAGTGACCCAAAATGGAATAAGCGGGTAAAGAAAATGGATGGATGGATGGATGGTTTTTATTTTATTTTATATATATATATATTTTTTTTTTTCCAGCTCCTAATTACTCAAAAACAGTTTGGTTTTATATTTATGAGGTTTTACTAATCCATAATAGATAAAACTGTTTGGCCAAGGGGGGCTACCAGTTTTTAAGGGATGGGCATTTCCTCCTCATATCCCCCCTTGGTAGTGCTCCTGGGCAGTTTTTGTTCTTGAACTTGGTCACTAAAATCAGGATTTTAAGTCATTTTTGAAAGATTCACAAAAGTATAAAAGCATCATCAAGAATCTAACGTCCTCCAGACTAAACTGAGATAAAAGTCTGCAGCTTTTCAGCCGTTCAAAGAAATGCCCAAAATAAAGCTCGTTCAGTACCAACTACTCTGTTCTGGTCGCTGCGGCTTTCATTTATGCATCATTTTATCATAAGATAGAATATTACGTTAATAAAAGGGCTGGTCATTTTTAAAGCGTCATTTTGTCATAAGATAAAATATAAATATTACGTTAATAAAAGATCTGGTCATATATAAAGCATCATTTTATCTGTGTTTCCCGTTCTAAAGGAGATATTTTGTGTCCCAAAGCTGAATGAGTGGTTCTGTTTCCTGCTTCTGTCTCCTCAGGCTCTAAAATTCTTCTGGATTTAACAGACAGAGAAAAGTAGGTGTACACCCCCCGCACCCCCACACTTCCACTCCAACATCAGATCTGTTGTGTAGTTTTCTTTTGATGCTTGCTTCCTGTCTGGTTCACGTCACCGAGGTCAACGTGTCTCTGCCCTCTACCTCTATAAAAACCACACCGGTGGGTTTTTTTCACAAAGCTTTTGTGTTCATAGAGGAGACACCGCCTTGCACAAAGCAGCCTCAGAGAAGCAGCATGCAGTGTGTCGACTGCTGGTGGAAGCAGGCGCTTCACTAGAAAAGACCAATTTCCAGGTAAAAACAGGGAAAAAGTCACAAACACGATTACTGTAAGTCCTGCTGAGTCACATGAGACTAACATCACGTCGATGATCCAATCAGCTTTATTACCTCTAAAGGTGTGTCTCCTTTAGCTTTGGCTTCACTCATCCATCTCATAAACATGTAGGAGTTTGGATAAAGCGATGACTGCATGAGACGCTGCTGTTTAACTGGATGCTTCATTATTTGTTTCATGTTAAGACGACACGCCTCAGAATCAAGAGCTGAAACGTTATTGATCTCAGTGTACATCCGGCTCCTGCTTGTTGTGTCATCGTGACAGAAAACCACCAAGCTGATATTCATGCACATATTTTAGCTGTCAGTTTTCTTAAATGCAGCAAAACCCAAATCTAAATTTAATGACTTTGAGTTTTAACGAATACAGATGGAAGGATTTTCAGCTCTATTGTAAAGAAACACTTGTGAATCATTTGGTCGATGTTGAGGCAACAGGAAAACATTTCATCTGCTCATCTGGCAGAAAGCAGCAGCTGGAAGCACTGTTGGCTTCTGGGTAGTGTAGTTCTTTTGCTTGGCAATACAGTGTAAGCTTATTGAAAGAAAACTACAAAATGGCAGCGCCTGTTCAAAGTATTTATTTATTTTCGTTAACTTTTTATCCCATACCGTCCCAATCACATGAGTAATATTAAAGTTGACAATCGTTGATAAACCGCAACGTAGCGAGAGACCACTGTAATCTAATTTGTAGTTTCCGTTTCAACCATAAAAATTAATTACCAATAAAAAGATTTCACAGTACAAATATCACTTTGTTAAATTTTCTTTGCAACAAATGTGACAAACAGTTTTGCGAAAATCTATTTTATATATATATATAAATAAGTAAATGTTTAAACATGTTATTCAGTTTTGCTGCATTTTAGAAACCTTCCTACGTTTTTAGCGGCTGCGTTCTTGTCAGTCCCGAGTTCTGAGCTGACCCATGTCCTGCAGGGCAAGACCCCGGTGGACCAGGCAGAGGGAGACTCTGAGCTCACGTCCTACCTGAGCTCCCAACAACGCACACCACCGTCCGCCACTAACGAAGACCTGGAGACGGCCGTCTGAGCAGACGCACACGCTGGACTCTGGACTCACCTGCAGCGGAGACTTACCGGGACAGAAAAGGGTTTAAAGGACAAACAGGGGCTGGATCTGACTCTGCACTCGTCCACTATTTATTTGTATTTATTTATTCATGTCCTATTTATTAGTTGTGCTGGTTGATTGATGGACTGATTGAATTTTAACAGCTGAAAGTGCAATTTGAACACACTTGGTGAGCTCTCCCGTTCGTCTTGTGATGGATCGTTTCAGATTATATTATACTTCTGCGCATATTTTACAGAAACATTCAAACGTTGGGTAGAAACGGTATATTTGTTATAAAACCTGCGTGCCAAAGACGTTGCGCTTTCGCGGCGTCGTAACTCATCCAAAAACGCCGCCGCTCCACAGCTACAAATCTCCCAGCTGATGACGTTTTCGCTTCTTCGGTGTCGTCCTCGTTTGATGCATGCTGCTGAATTCACGCCTCCGAGCCGTCAGCCGAAGGTGCAGACCTCATAAATGGAAAGGAACGCACGGGACGCACACCGGTTTACGAAATGTATTGCTCCAAACAATTCAGTTCTGGAGCAGTAACCGTGATTTCCATTCAATTAGTCATTTATTGAAACAACGGCTTTTAATTTCATCATAAATCAGGAGAACCAAGGTTTACTGCTCATCCCTGCCGTCTGCGGGTTAACTTTAATCTAAACCAGCAGGTTGGAATTAAAGCCAAATGATAAACATCAGCTGTTTAGGGTTCAGGTTTTGAACTAATCCAACAAGTTTTGCTGATCTCCACCGTTGAAAGTAAAACTCCCTAGTTTTAGTTTGAACAGTGGTGTTTTTATCAGCACTTGTTCGTGCGGTTTGTGTGGTTTGAAAGCTCAACGCTAACATCTGGTGCTGACTGAAGCTCACCGACGTCTCCCTCAGAGTCGCATGAGCTGATCAAACTGAACTCTGCTTTCATCTTTAAACCGCAAATTTGCTTTTAATTACAGCCTTGAAAATTAAATTCCCCTTTTTCATGCGTGTACAATAGAAGAGCGACAGCTGAAATTGTTAATTGGTATAAATCTTGCTTCAAATATTCTTTTTTTTTTTTTAATCTTATTTTTCTGAGCTGTTTTGAGATTTTATGTCAAGCTGAAATCCAGGTTTCGGTGTTTTCTTACATTTTGTTGAACAACAACAAAATCCGATGAGAGATGAGACGACTCTTCTTCGTGGTTTTAAAGCTCTCCGACACACCTGACCCACACAGGGGTCTGCAATCTGCGGCTCTCGGGCCACATGAGGCCCTTTGGTCCCTCTGCAGCGGCCCTTTCAGGCTTTGACCAAAACTAACACAAAACTGAATTTTATTTAAATTATCTCCAACAATGAAAATGGCTAGTTTTAGCAGATTTCCTTCAGTTTCAAATATGTGACTGATAATATTTAGGTAAAACATCATGCTAGTTGTTTGTTAGCCACTTCAAGTCAACTTCCAGTCTCACAGCGTCAAAACCACCAGAATGTTTTGGAATATCTTTAAGACAAGTTGCTGAGAAGGAATATTTGATGACACTAAGAATAAAACACAAAAAAACCAAAGTCAACGTAAACTAAAGTATTTATTTTTATTTAAAAATGTAACACTATCCAACAAACTGGTGTAATTTTAACCTGTCTTTAACTGGCATAAATATAATATATTTATCATGAAGGGTGCAGACCCCTGCACAAGCAGGAAGCAGTCCCAGGATCCACACTAGAAAAATCAACTCAAACAGATTCCTACAGAACTTGTTTGACCTAAAAATGTTGCGATTTTATCTTTTTTTTTTATTAACTACGATGACAGAATAGTCCAGCCCCTAACTGGACGATAAGCACCACACCTGTATGACGTATTCAATCAGTATTTGACTCCTCAGCAGGATACTATCACTGGTACTCCTGAATCAACACGCCTGTAAATACACGTGACTGGTAATTATACTCAACATATCCAATCTGAGAAACCTCGGGGTACTCAAGTGTGTTTTCATGCATTATTCACAGAGTGCGTGCGTTTGTGTGACATTTCTTTAAAAGGAAACAATCTGAGCCATATTCAATGCAATATGAGTGGATTACATCCTTTTTTTTTGTTGCATTTCTTTATTAACCGTTTACATTACATTAATGTTTTTTGAACATAGTCGACCATTTAGCACCGAGGAGTATTGAATGTTCAGCGTTACTTCAGTGCCGGTTGAGTTTTCCGATCGTTTTCTAACTTTCGTTTTCTTTTGTGTGTGCATGTGTGTCAAAGGACTCCCGACAACTCTGAGCTCTTCTTTGATACGAAGTGTCGTGAAGTGAAATTATATTTGCAGTAGGAAAGAGTCTGTCTTTTTACGTTCAGGTGAATTTCCGGGGATGTTTGGAGGCGTCCTTGCAGCCATCGTCGAAGTCTTGTAAAGTTGACGATGAATCCAGTTTCTGGTTGTTGCTGTGATTCACGGTGATGCAGATCCTTTGAAGAGGGGTTCTGTAGAAAGGTTATGAAGAGGCAACATCTTACCTGTTGAGCAAGCTCAGCTTGGAGAAACAGGTTAACATATTTTTCGCTGTAAAAGTCGCACCTTTTTGCATAAATTTGCAAGTCGACTTATACACCGAAGCGACTTTTTTTTCATTCATTCTGACATGAAAAATGTTAAAATATTACCATTTGCAGCCGCTACAGGGCCCTCGAGCAATATGGCAAGCCAACTGTCTCATTAATAGATAAAACTGGCTATTAATGAGACAGTTGGCTTGCCATACAGCGCTACCTTCGTCTCGCTCCTGAACTCCTGGAGTAAACGTCAAATCAGCTTCATTTCACCGCGCCGCCCAGGAGAAATGCAGCTGATTTGACCATTAAAGTGCATTCATTAAGGAAAAGTTCAACTGAGACGCACCTTTACTCTAATGTTGAGCAAACAAATAATTGTTTTTAAGTAGGGGTGCACCAATAAATCGTCCAGCCAATTTATCGGCTCCCAATTTTCTTAACTTTGGGAAATCAGCCGATACTTGCACGAGGAACCGATTTTACAGATTTTTTTGTTTTGTTTTGTTTTAACAATTGTCTGAACTTCATTTATATTTCAGAGCACTACCTCATGGCCAGTTAAAACAAGTTTGTATTGTTTCTAGGATATTGTAGGTGTGACCTTATAACACCTGACAGTGTCGCTCATAAAGCAAAATCAGAATCGGCAGGTCAGACTTTTTAGAAATCAGTGATCGGCCAGAAAACTGCAACTGATGCACCCTTAAGTGTTAGTCTTGTTCAAGTCCTCCCGTGCACGCTCTCGTGGCCGCCATTTTGGCAGCCAATTGATTTTTGGCACAGCACCGGCCCATGTTTCTGGGTGGTCAGTGGTGACGCATAATAAATGCAACTTATACGGCGGAAAATACGGTAATTGAGACCTGATTGATGAGCTAACCGCTAGCCTGAGTGGGTCGAGTCATTTTAAAGCAACTCCAGACTCGAGATTTTAAAGCAATTTATGCAAATGCTCCTTCTTAAACCTTTACGCTGCTGTCCGTTTTGCATTAGACATGCTACAGCTAGCTGTTATTGCTATTTGCACTTGCAAATAACTGCAGAGTTCAGGTTAAATAACCATGTGATGCAGCTCTGACAGCAGTGTTAAGTTTATAACATACAGTTTGTGTGAACCGCAGTGAAACTTTTGAGACTGGAGTTGTTTAAGAACTAAAGCGGTCCACTTTCTGCTCGGCTGTGATCGCATTAGCTCGTCAGTCGAGTCAGAGTTGATGTGTTTCTCCACAACAAGGCGTCTAACAGTCAACATATTAATTGTTGGTGCCTGAATCCCCCTTTAAAAGAGCTGAACTATCCCTTAAATACTAAATCCTACATTCTGAACCTTTAACTGTCGAAGACTGAAGGTGGGTTGATTTAAACAAAATCATGCATGATGGTGGATGTAATACAAACATTTTTAACTATATTTATTTCCTTTAATAAAGATGGCAGTATTTTTATTATTATTTTATGCAATTCAAGACTTTGACAATGGCTCCATGTGTCAGACATCCACCACTGAGAGCTTCCTTTGGAGATGATAGACAAAATGTGTGTAAAATAAAGAATCTTCTGTGAACAGTGAAGACATTTCTGTGGTAAAACAGCCAGGCCTGTTCCCAAACACAAACACGCTTCTTATCACTCTTTGTATCGAGCAGAAACACGACTTTGTATTAAACTGTCTCATCAGAGCTGCATGGCATTTTCTTACCTCTTTGGGACTTGTTTTCTGGTAATGACATAAAAAGAATGGCATTGTTGTTCAAACTATTAAATTATTATAGTTTTAAAACGTTCTAGCCGAGTCTCAAAGTATTTGTTGTTTTAAATCTTCACTTTCTGAGCAAATGATGAGCAGAATTTATTCATTACCCTAACCCTTTTCCTCATTTCTATTTCTGTTTATCCGTCGTTTAGATTCAAGAGGATTTCATATTTAAATATTTTTAATGAAGAACATCTGCAGACACTTTTATTTAAATTATATATAGAAGTCTGTGTACAGAATATGTAAAGATGATCATTTCAATATATAATTTATTAAATAAAGTGGAGCATATTCAATTTATTAATAATGTACCAGCCAGACTTGGTGTTTGTAGCAATGTAATTTGTTAAATGTAAAAAAAGAAACACATTTTCAATGCTAACACTTATGTTAGCATGCTAATACCTCCGCGATACACATGTTTTCAGTAAAATGTAGATTTTATGAAGTTATTGTGTTATTAGTCGTCTAAGCGACTGTTAGAAACTGGAGACCCCATAGCACACCCATGTTTCTGCCTGTAATATTGTTCCCCATATGTGAAGTAGGTTGACTGAAGGCACAGTTTCAAGAGTTGACACAGTTCTGAAAGTGTGGTCCTGCTGCTCAGAGTGGTGTCTGATTTTAACCTTAAACTGACCACCTCGATTGCATCATCAACAGGAATGCACGTAAAGAGTGACGTGACATCAAAAGAGACCATTGTTTCATCAGTCTCCATGATGACATCCCTCACTTTATTCACAAAGTCATGCGAACTAAATGTTAGCAGACTTCTTGTGGTTGACGACTTCACTTGGAGTGCACAAAGCTGTCTGTTACTAATTTAATCTGTATTTATTTTCCCATCTTTATTCGTGGCAGATGCACAAATCTGCAGCTTGACCACAGTTCAGGTCTGAACAGGTAAAACGGTGATTTCTTTAACTAAATGGTGACTTAAAACCAGCTGGGACATTATAATTCCATTCAGATTATACAAACTTTGATATTTACAGGAGTTAACACCATTTCACAATTAACCATAAACCAACCCAACAGACCAGTTTCATAGTTTTCTTCAGATTGTAGAAACTTAATCAATTAAAGGGGTAAAGAAGATAATACCAAAATGGAGATTTACCGGTATAATGAAACTACAAACCAGTAGTGGGAGGATAAAAGAACGAAAATAGTTTTCAAAACCGGCTTCCTCAAGTTTGGAGCCCAAAAAAAGACAAGCAGGAAGTCAGGATCAGAATGTGGCTCCACTGTCCTGAAAGTCTGCGTAGACGTCAAGCTCGTAATGTTGACGAGTTACTGAAGTTCAAATCCTGTAAAACTCTTCAGCTGTTTGGAAATGACCCGTGACTCATGTATCAGTTGACTGAGAGATAATGGCCTCCTTCCTTCTCCAAGTACCCACTTCTGCTTTTCTTCTTTTAAAAATAAACAGTATCACCACCACTAAATTAAACATCTATCAAAAGGGAAACTAATTTTATGTTTTCCTGTTATAAATATAACTAAATTAGGTAAAATCTACTGCATTTCCATTTAGTTTTTTTAACACTGTCCTTTGCTAACATTCAATGAAAAGAAGTACAAGGCAAATTTTTTATTAAAGTCCTGGGAGTAATTTTTAAATAAGTGTTTAAATTAAATTTAATGCCTTCTTGAAACTACAAGATGTCTTTACTCTTTCACTTTTAGTTTAAAATCCATGAAAGCGCCCATGTTTCTCAGATTGTACCACTTGTTTAGTTAAAAAAGCAAAATGAAACAATCACATCACGTTCTTCTGTATTTTCCATTAAATGAGTCATCCAGTGAGTAAAGGGGAATGTCCTTTTGTTGTTGTACATGTTCGCAGAAATTTATGGAAGTGGGTGCAAATTTTCATTTGATTTATTTTATTATTAAAAATTTGCCCCTTTGTCCCTAACCCTCTTCCGTAGACATGGCTTCACGTCTCACATCAAAACGTTCTTTTCGGAGTCTCGTTTTTTTCCCTCTAATGTTGAAAAATCTGTTTATTTCTTTTCCAGAATTTCAGTAACAACCACTAGAACCTACGTCGTAAGAACCCGAGCAGTTCTAATGTTCTAAAAAAAAAATAAGAGTACAGTAATATCAACTGGTAACAACCAGAGCTCGAGTTGCGAAACCTTCTGTTTACTTTTATTAGTTTCACTTGATGAACGTCCTCCGCCGTAACTCTGACGTCATCACGTAGACTATGATAGTATAAATACTAGCGCACGGCTTCACGTCGACTTCAAGTTCCGGTTGAAGTCGAAGAGGATCAACTCTTAGCTTTTTCGCCGGTTAAAAGGTAAGTAGTCACTTTCCTTTTGTTTTAGAGGACATTACTACACTAACTAGTCGTTTAAATCTCTTAATAAAAGTGATTTTGTTTCGTTTATTCCCGCCACGAACCGTTTCAAACTAGTTTTGTTAAGATTTTACGTCTCTTTTTCCAGTCAGTTGATAGTTATTTTATAGCTTTAAGACGAACTTCGCCCTTTTAAAGGTTAGTTTGATGTTTTTCTGTGCTGAAGCAGCGACAGCAGTTGTGAGGAAACTGAATACATCTGTACATGACTCGAATCTGCTGCTTGTGAAGGAAAAAAGTCCAAATTTTCCTCCAAAATGATTAGAAACTTCCAGTAATGTGTTATTACATAGATGTGAAGAAGACGGGGTGTGTTTAGGATCATTTCTCCTGTTTTGTGTAAATAATTGTACTGCTTTAGGTGTGGTAAAGTGCTTTAAACAGTTAAGTTTTTCCACAGAAAGCTTTGAAATAAATGATTAACTAACTAACAGCTGTAATAATCTTGGTAGGAGTCCTTGGAGTTATTTATTTATTAGCAGAAAAGACACATTTTACAACTTTAGCCTCTGATTTGCTGTCTTTCTGAATGCTATCGTGTACTTTTTGATAAATAAGTCAGTGAAGATAATATTTGTAATTAACCCATAAAGAAAATGTGACGTGCTCCTTTAAGTAACCTACTTTACAGTGAGGCAAGTTTAAACTGTTGGTAGTTTCCTCATTCATTTACTAGTTTACTGATGTTTTAATGCCTAAAGTGGAGTAAAATAGCTTCTTACAAGTTTTCTGCTGTAGGATATTATAGTTATTGTGTTACAATAGTGTTTTTTTTTTATTAAAGTTGAAATAAATGAATGAAATCAACAGGGTATTATTAATCTGAACAACAAAAAAGGTTAAATCGTGTCATCTGGACCAGTTTCTTTAAGCGAGAAACGTTCCGTCCCCCATCCAGAGGTTTTCCTCAGTTATTAATCATTAATCTGAGTTTACTGTAATCACAATAATAAAAAAAAAACACTTTTTTTTTCTGTCTTAACAGCAAGTCAGCATGCAGAACGGACACGTGGAGAACCACAGAACGGTCTCCAACAACAACAAGACCACAGAAGTGGACTTGAATCTGGACTCGGGCAGCATGGAGGACACGGTGGAGTTCAGACTCATGATGGCCTACGCTCAGAGGAGACGGCCAACGAAGGACGCGCAAACAAACTGCAGCGTGGAGGGAAACGTAACGACTCCACCTCAGATCAAGGCTGAAAAAGACGAGACGCAGGAGAGGAAGAAGAAGAAGAAGAAGTTTGGGAAGCGGCTGTGGACCATCTTCAGATGTATTAAACCTCAGGCTGATGAGACAGAACCACCACAGCACGGAGCAACAGAAGCAACGGACCAGGACGAAGTCAAAGACAGATGCTTCGTTCCTCAGGACGGTGAGCATCAGATTACAGCCACCGACAGAAACGACACTCGGTGAAGGATAAACATGTTTTGTTCAGAAGGCCAGAAAATGAATCACATTAGGGAAGCAGGAGTCGTTAAATTTATATTTTTAGGTCAAGTAAAGTTTTTATTAGCATGTTCAAAAAGTATATTGAAATAAGACGATGAAAGTGGATGAGGATGATTAATATGACTATAATTAACATAAAAAGAAACTAAAGATCCAGTATGTGTTTGATTTCTGCTCCTATAAAAGGAATATATTTTTAATTGAACTGTTGGCATGATTTATAAATAATCCAACATACTCAGCAGAGAGGGAAATAAATACAACTTTTTCTTGATTACCTCTTTAAAAACGAACATCATGGTCAGAAATGTATTTTCTTGAAAATGTCCCGTTTTTCACGACAATCCAAAATAATAATATACAATAAAAGTACATAAAACATTTACAGATACAACATTCATGTTGAGAAATATCCTTAAACTCAGTTTGCATTCACGGTGGAGTTTAGGACATTTCAAACGCACCTTCGTGTTGATTTCATTAATGTTCTGTAAACAAACGTATGAGCTAATCAGAATGTAGAAAAACCGGTTTAACCGCGATTAAATGGTGTAAATAAACAATGGAACTGTCTGTTTTCCTCGAGACGGCACAGAAACACGATCTGCAGTTAAAAACTGGATTTACAGGCGGCCTCGTGACTCGCTCACTCCCACTGCGTTGACTGGTTTCTAGTTTTGAGACTTTGTTTGTTTCATGACCGTTTGTTTGTTCAGATGTGGCTAAAGAGGAGGACGAGTTCGGCGAGTTGGCGGCTCGGGTGATGGGGATCGTTGATGAAATCGAGTTAAGCGCCTCAGACTTGGAGAAGGATGCTAAGGAAGGTGAGCCCTCTTGTTAGAACACCTCAAACTTCTTTAAGTGAGACACTTTCACACTAAAGCGTAAATAAAGATGTATGAACTCCATAATGATTAAATGTTTCTCCTGACTGAAACGTTTTGTTCTGTTTAGACGACGTGGAGAGGACGGTGGCTCTGCTGCTGAGGGAGACTGGAGACGAACTGGCTGAGAGGGTAAAAACACACCCCACCTTTTATAGTTTCAGTCCTTTAAGGAATCCTCTGGGAGTGACTGACTTTACTTAATTTAACACACTCCACCCCACTGGTTCAGAGTTGCACACCAGGTTTTTTTCCAGCTTTTGATCAACGGAACAAACCGATCATTAACTCCATTGTTCTGTTTGTTGCAGTTTAAAGAAGCTAACTTGGGGGTGGAGCTCTTCTTAAACTACAGCTTCTTCAGGGCAGTAATCCAAACTTTCCTAGAGAGCATAGGCTTCAGGAGTCGTGACCCGAATGCTCTGGGGCCACAAGCGTCACCCAAAACCCAAATCGCAGTGACCTGTGAGGTGAGGACACTTCCCGTTTGCTTTCTTGGCTCGTTTTTTTTAATTCAGCTACAGTGATGAACAGCTGAACTCAAAGGCCGCAAACGTTTTGTCCCCGACAGATCACGAGTCGTCTCTCAGCCGTGGACACAATGGCCTCGAGCCGCCTGCTGAGCTACGGAGCTCTGTTCCTGCAGGAGGATTACTCGGCCTGGGCTGAGCAGCAGGGCGGATACGTAAGTCCTCTCTCCTGATTGGTTCTGAACGGAAAAACTTTTTCAAACTAAATATCGAATATTCTGTTTTCAGGATGCAGCCTTCAGTGATGACGAGGTGGACTGATGAGGATGTCTCCATCCAGACGCACAGCGCCTCCCGCTGGCCTACACTGAAACCTGCATGAATCTCCGTTCAACTGATCCGAGCTCAAGAGCTGTGAAAAATTAAATCACTCATTTCACTCAGGTCTGAGCCACGCTCCTGAAACCTCCTGCTGTCGGCTCTTATCCTGCAGGACCCACAGGAACCTGAGCCAAACACGAGGAATGGACCATTAACACCTCAAAGGACCAAAATTATTTTAAAGACAAACAAGTGTAGTAACTTAAATTTTGCTTTTACCTTAATTTAATTTAGCATTATTTCTTTTGTGGTTAGGAATTATCATGTCTTGTTAAGCATTTGCACTTTTACCTACAAAAATTTTTTTGTATTTGGAAAAAAAAAAAAAAAAAGTTTAGCCACATTGGGATAATAAAGATCTGAATTACAGCATTTGTGTCAACATCAAGGATTTTATTTACACATCGGTGACTTCAGTGGCGAGGTACCACAGGGCTCCATTCTTGGACTCCTCTTGTTTATACCTCTTGCCATAGGTGCTACTGTAGTTTTCATAAACACAGCATACCTTTTCAAGTTTATGCCAATGATTGTCACATTTACTCTCCTCTGAAGCGCACTGCTGCACGCTCTGTCCAACCTCTTCTAGACTGCCTGACGGACATCAGGGTGACGTTCAACTTCTTAAATTTTAATGAGACTAAGGCAGAAGTTTTGTTGTTTCCACATAATTGTACCAACAGGAACCCCCTTGCTTTAACCTTTCCTCTGCTCCTTTTGAGAAAGGATTGTCACTAATCTGGGAGTGAAAATGGGCCCTTCCATGGAACTAATCATATAAACTCAATTGTTAAATTGTTTTTTTTTCAGTTGAAGCGACGGTCTAAATTAAAAACCACACTGTCCAGAAGTAACCTTGAGACTGTAACATGCTTTCATAACATCCAGGCTTGAATACTGCAATGCACTTTATGGACTCAGTCAGACGTCTAGGTCTTGTTTGCTACTGGTTCAAAATGCTGCAGCCTGATTTATCTGGTGCAAGCAAAAGAGCACATTTCTCTGGTACTGGCCTCCCTTCACTGGCTCCTGGTTCAATTCTGAATATATCTTAAAATCCTTTTTTGTTTTTAAATCTAATAATTCTGCCCCCTCCGATCTCGCTGATCTGCTGCAGCCATATATCCCACAGCGCTCTGAAGTCAGCAGATCAGATGCTTTTTATTGGTTCCATGCACATGTTTTAAGCTCAGAGGTGACGGCTGCAGGTTCAAAACTGGAATTGTTTGCCACCACATGTTAGGCAGGCTCCCACTCTTCCTGTTTTTAAGTTTAGTTTTAAAACTTATTCACTGGCCTTTGACCCAGTGTGAGTTGATTTTAACCTCACTGTTTTATTATTCTGGTTCAAAATTATTATTTTTTTTTTACTTATGTTTTTTGTACAGTGTGTTTTTATTGTACAGCTCTTTGGATTTACTTAAGTGCTTTTTAAATAAAATAGTTTGACATCTGTGAATCTTTTATATGAAAGTTTCTTGTAAGTTATTGTCATTGTATTGTGTAGATTAGTCTTGAGTTTTTCAAAAATTAAGTTTTTAAAAATTGTTTCAACTTTGAAATGTTTTTAAAAATTCACCTGTTTTAGGGACAGGCAGGTTTTAAAGTGATCACTTAAAATAATTTAATAGTTTATTAACTTTAATGATCAATATTAGTAAGTTTGGTTCGTAACTGAAAAGGTTGAAAACAATTAAAACGTAAAACCAATGAAAGTGGATAAGTTTCCACTTTTATTTTGAATAGTTTTGACTTTCTTCTTCGTGTAGTTCATATGTTGATCTACAGCGCCCCCTCGAGGCCAAAACAAGAACTGCAACCAAAACTCACGGATCCAACGGATTATACTTTAATATAAATATTTTAATTATTTATCCTCTCAGACACAGTTTGTTTTTAAAAAGCACCTGCAGTCGATAACTTTGCAGCTGCTGAGGGGAACTTTAACCTTCCGTCAACGGAGCGTGTCGCCGTCTGAAATGAGATCCAACCCGTTTCCCGGCAGGCAGCTCAACCTGCTCTCCGGCAGCAGCGCGCGGCTCCTCGTCAAACCGTCGCCCGCTGCTCGCTCGTTCACCTCGGCTCCTCGGAGCATGAAGGCCGCCTAATGTTTAACCCCTCGCCCCCGTTTCGGAAACACGCCCCTCCGGTCACGGACTACCCTCCGTCCGCCCTGGAGCCCCTCCACACGAGCGACACGACGTGGCCGCCGCCGGGCGCCAAGATGCGGATCTCCAAGGGAGCGGTGGTCGTGAGAGGAGTCCGCCGGCAGCCGAGCCCCCAAGCGGCCAGCCTGGAGAGCCTGGAGGCGGTGTGGGGCCAGAGGGAGCCGGCCGAGGTGACCCCCCGGAGCCCCGGGGCGAGGGAAGCTGCCAGAAACGGGATAGAGGGACACGGAGGAGGGCCCCCCCGGGCCAGGAAGAGCAGGTTCCGAGCCCCCGACGTGAGGACCATCTTCTCCCCCGGAGAGAAGGACCCCAGGGTGAAGGAGGAGTCCGGGGAGGGACACACCTTCGAGGCCGGAGGAGAGAACACCTGGTGCGACGTGTGCTGCCTCTACATCTTCCAGGGCGTTCTCACCTGTGCAGGTAAGACGTCCAACAGAGTCTTAGTGGTTTCTAAAGCTGGGGTTCGGGACCCCATTGTGGGTCACAAAACACCAGGTTGGGGGCCGCTTAAAGCAGCGGTTCCCAACTCTGGGCCTTGAGGAACACCACCCTGCTTGTTTTCGTTTCTCAGCTCCAGCACACCTGATTCAGTGGTTTAATGACGTCCTTAAGTTCAGCCTGTTAATCATCTTTCATTCATCTCAGGTGTTGGAGCAGAGCAACAGCTAAAACATGCAGGATGGTGTTCCTCAGGGACCAGTGTTCGGAACCCTGCCTTAAAGCATCTCTGAAAACAACAACTAAATATTTTCTATGTGCAAATTTTCACATTACTTGTTATAATATATATATATATATATATATATATATATATATATATATATATATAATAGATAAAATTAAAATGTATAATAAGCTTAAACTGTCGTTATAGTGTTTTTAGCACTAAGGATGTTTGTAGCGACTAGTTTGTATAGAAAGGTATTAAAGATTATTTGAGGAAAAACTGCAATAACTGAAGGAAACATCTAATCCAGGTCTGGTTCTTCACCTTGGTGAGTGCTGGTTTTACTCACAAGTAAACTTTTGGTACAGTTTAGTGTTATTTTAAAATCTTTATGTGATATCATCCTGTCAGCAGCCATGTCAGAATAAATCTGTCACTGATACGAGTCAACCACATGATAAAAAAACCCATCAGAGCCAAATGTTTTTCACAAATATTTGAAATGTTTCTTTTGACATTAAGAAGATAACAGTGCAGCGGACCACAGTTACTGACGAACTATTGTGATTACGGAAATAGAATTTACGATTTGAAGTCTATTTTTTATTGTAAATGAAGTCATCGGTGAGACGGAGCTCTCCTGCTCGAGTCGCCACTTGATTAGCCCTGCGTTGGTGCATCCGAGACTATTTTGTGTTTAAAAAAGTATTTTCAGGGCAAACACCTAAAATAATCAAATCCCACAAGGGAATTAAAACAACAGCAACCATAAAAAAAGGACAATTCATGTAGAGTTTTCCCTGTAAATTAGTTTTTTGGACCAAATGGTTTAAACGGTGTTTAAATGTGCATCATCAGCCGATGCTCATTAAATGAACAGTGACATTTTAGGTTCGTTCTGACGAGACTACAATGGATCATTTGTAAAGTGCATTCATCACGGTGACATAACTGATGGTTCTGCCCGACTTGTTGAAATGTTGTTAGTGACATTACCAGGCCGGGCCCGAAAATGTTTAGCTGCTGGAATGTGGGCAGTATGCTGAAGAACCAGTTGAAAGACGCCGAGCCTGACTGACTCGTCCAGTTCAGACTCTGGACTTCCCGCTGATGGTTTCTGACTAACAGCAGGAGGAAGGCCGAGTTCTTCCTAACGTGTTTCAGCTGCTGATGGTTTCTGACTAACAGCAGGAGGAAGGCCGAGTTCTTCCTAACGTGTTTCAGCTGCTGATGGTTTCGATCCTTCAGTTTCAGGACTTCTCTTGTTCCAGCTCAGCTCCAACTTCCATGTTTTCATATCATGATGAAACGCTCAGGAAAATATGCACTGGTTTAAGCTTCGACTAAACTGGTAATGATTAGCCGACTGATGTTAATAAGTTGTGAACTGAAAATACAACGAAATAAATGTACTGTGGCGCTTGAAAGTTTATTAACGCTTTATCATTTTATATATTTCTGCATAAATATTAACTAAAATATCAGATTTGCATGGAAGTCCTAAAAGTAGATAAAGAGAACCCAGTTGAGACAAAATATTAAACTTGATCATTTATTTATTGAGGAAAATGATCCAGTGTTACATATTAGTGATGGTAAAAGTATGTGAAGCTCTAGGATTATCAGTTAATTTGAAGGTGAAATTAGAGTCATGTGTTTTCAATCAATGGATGATGATCAGGTGCGAGTGGACCTGTTTGATCTAAAGAACAGGATCTATCAAAGTCTGATCTTCACAACATGTTGGTGGAAGTGGATCATGGAGGAACAAAGGAGGTTTCTGAGGAGCTCAGAAAAAGAGCTGTTGATGCTCATCAGGCTGGAAAATGTTACAAAACATCTGTAAAGAGTTTGGACTCCACCGATCCACAGTCAGACAGATTGTGTCCAAATGGAGGAAACTCAAGACCATTGTTCCCCTCCCCAGGAGTGGTGGACCAACGAAGATCACTCCAAGAGCAAGACGTTGAATAGACAGTGAGGTCACAGAGGACTCCAGGGTAACTTGTAACATCTGAAGGTCTCTCTCACATTAATGTTCATGAGTCCACCATCAGGAGAACTCTGAACAACAATGGTGTTCATGGCAGGTTTAAAGAAGAAAACGATTGCTCTCCAAAAAGAACATGGCTGCTCGTCTGCAGTTTGATAAAGATCACGTGTTGGAAGAATGTTTTGTGGACAGATGAGACCAAAACAGAACTTTTTTTGGTTTAAATGAAAAAAGTTCTGTTTGGAGAAAGGAACACACTGCGTTCCTGCATAAGAACGTTACCCCATCTGTGGAACATGGTGGTGGTAGTATCATGGTTTGGCTGTTTTGCTGCGTTGGGGTCAGGACGGCTTACATCATTGATGGAACAATGAATTCTGAATTATGTCAGAGAACTCTGAAGGAAAATGTCAGAACATCTGTCCATGAACTGAATCTCAAGAGAAGGTGGGTCATGACTCATGCTGCAACACGATGACTCTAAACATACAAGATGTTCTACCAAAGAATGGTTCAAGAAGAATAAAGTCACACCAAGGTTCACATACTTTTACCACTCACAAATATTTAATACTGGGTCATTTTCCTCAATAAATAAATGACCAAGTTTAATATTTTTGTCTCGTCTGTTTAACTGGGTTCTCTTTATCCACTTTTAGGACTTGTGTGAAAATTTGATGTTTTAGGTCACATTGATGCAGAAATATAGAAAATGATAAAGAGTTCACAACTTTCAAGCAGTACTGTGTGTGTGTGTGTGTGTGTGTGTGTGTGTGTGTGTAATTGTATAAATGAAAATAATGCAATACAAAAGATAAAACATTAATATCAGTAATTTTTAAATTTATTTTACAGCTTCTCTTAATCATTAACTTTTTTTAACCAGCTAACGCTAGCACACTAGCTAATGTAGCAAGTGAGCTAATGTAGCTAGCTAGCATGTTTAAACAGTCATTTTCTTTGGTGTTAGCTGTAGACTGTAGCTTTAAACAAAAGCACATGGTTTCAAACAACTGGAACATTTATTAATTAAATGAAACAAGATGTTTTTGCTGAGTATAGTTAGTTTTAGCTGTCACATCCTGTGTTGTACCGACTGTAGCAACAACCGTGTGACTTGGTATGCTAGCTTCTGCTTAATTTTAGCTGAAGGTTTTCATCCTTATTTCTTCTGTTTGACACACATCACAAAGACAGACTCAGTAAGTATTGTTTATAAAGTTACTGCATACTTTATAATCGTTTACATGTAGCTGCACCAGGAGAGTACCTCCATCAAAGTTTCACAATGATTATTAAAGTTTAGGGTTGAAAACTTAGCTACAGCTAAAGTCTGCTTTAACATCAGGCTTTCATATTCTGTTTGTGTCTAATATTTTGTGTTTAAATCTACATTTCTCTCAGCAAAATTAGTGTAATAAAAAGAGAAGCTACCAGTAATGGCACCGTAGCCGAGCTGCTAATTCATGAAGAAAAGTTGCTTTATTTTGCCGTTTTCACCTTTAAAACCTCGTATCTCTCATGAAACATGTCGAATTTTTAAATGTCGACAGCCTGTTGGTAAAATTTAAACCAACGAAGGCTGTGTTTACTTTGTAGGAAGCACAATTAGCAATGCTTGCTGCGCTAATAAACACTTTGAAAATATGTGGAAAACCATTTAAACATAGCTCTGTTTGCTTGCAGGTTATAACTAACAGTTCAGAGAAACATTAAATATACACAGGTATTCTGTTAATAAGTTATAGAGCCTATTATTGTCAGAAAAACTGCACCTGTTACTTCTGTTGTCCACATTTCAGCACAATAAATAACTATTATATGGCAAAATGAGCAATAATACAAAAAACACATTTAAACACAGTCTACTGTACAATACCACAATGTCTCCATGAGTCACTTATTAAAAGAACAATCACTTATAAACCTGCGAGAGCAGCAGTTTGGATCAGCTGAAGATTGATTTCTTTTGCTGTGCAGGTTCTTGTACGCTGAAATGTTTTAATTAAAAAATGTTTTTTCTTTGCAAAGCCTTGGAGATCATTTCATTCTGCATGTCAGATTCATTCTCAACTAATGGTGGTTGGTCTCCAAAATAAGTTGGTTATTTTACTGATCATGATTTACACCTTTTGATTTTTTTATACAATAATTTATGCATTTTCACTAACGAAACACAATAAACCAATTTAATTTAATGAACCAGGTCACTAAAGTGTTCAAAATGTAAATATGTCTGTAAATTATTTCCTTAAAGGTGTCATGTGTTGAAGAGTCTTTGTTTGGGGAAACCAAAGCAAAACTGTTTGTGTGGTAGGAAGTTTTAAATTAAAATAACTCTCCACCTAAACTAAAGCACGGTGGTGGCAGTGTTATGCTCTGGGGTTGGTTAGCTGCCTCAGATGTGGAAGTAATTAAAAAAAATGATGAAATCAGTGAAAGTGAAATGTATTTGTGGTGTCAGAAAGGAGGATTAGATGTTTTTTATAGATCAGCCGGACCTACAGCTAACATCAGCCGGCAAAAAAAAAGAAGTTAAAAAGGTAAAGGTAGCTATATATATTTCATAATTATTTTGCAATCTATTTCTTCATACTTTATTTTAGTCACATGACTCAAAACGTTCAACTCGTCCAGGAGATGGAGGCTACCACTTATTTTGTAACTTTAACTTTTTTCAAAATATTTGAATACTATTTGGGATCTCTTTAATTCCTTCAAAAACATTGTTCTCTTTAAAATCTACTTAAGCAAAGCAGC